GCACTGGTCATAGCAAACACCCTCTTCCAACAACACAAGAGAAGATTCTACACATGGACATCACCAGATGGTCAATACCAAAATCATGTTGATTATATTCTTGCAGCCAAGATGGAGAAGCTCTATATGGTCAACAAAAATAAGACTGGGGACTGACTGTGACTCAGATCATGAACTCCTTATTGCCAAATTCAGGCTTAAATGAAGAAAGTAGGGAAAACCACTAGCCCATTCAAGTATGACCTAAGTCAAATCCCTTACAATTATACAGTGGAAGTGACAGATAGATTCAAGGGATTAGATATGATAGACAGAGTACCTGAAGAACTATGGACAGAGTTTCATAACATGGTACAAGAGGTGGTGATCTAAACCATCCCCAAGAAAAAGAAATGCAAAAAGGCAAAACGATTGTCTGAGGAGGCCTTACAAATAGCTGAAAAAAAGAAGAGAAGTGAAAGGCAAAGGAGAAAAGGAAAGCTATACCCATTTGAATGCAGAGTTCCAAAAAATAGCAAGGAGAGATAAGAAAGCCTTCCTCAGTTATCAATACAAAGAAATTGAGGAAACAATAGAATGGGAAAGATTAAAGATCTCTTCAAGAAAATGAGACATAAAGGGAACATTTCATGGAAGCATGGGTACAATAAAGGACAGAAACAGTATTAAGAAGCAGAAGATATTAAGAAGAGGTGGCAAGAATACACAGAGCTATACAAAAAAGATCTTCATGACCCAGAAAACGACGATGGTGTGATCACTCACCTAGAGCCAGACATCCTGAGGTGTGAAGTCAAGTGGGTTTTAGAAAGCATCACTACAAACAAAGCTAGTGGAGGTGATGGAATTCCAGTTGAGCCATTTCAAATCCGAAAAGATGATGCTGTGAAAGTGCTGCACTCAAGATGCAAGCAAATTTGGAAAACTCAGCAGTGGCCACAGGACTGGAAAAGGTCCGTTTTCATTCCAATCCCAAAGAAAGGCAGTGCCAAAGAATGTTCACGCTACCGCACAATTGCACTCATTTAGCCTACCAGCAACATAATGCTCAAAATCCTTCAAGCTAGGCTTCAACAGTATGTGAACAGAGGGAAAGGCAATGAGTAAGCGAAGTAAAAAAAAAAAAAAGCCACCAGTATTACAGAACATCTCTGAGAATGGCAAGCATCAGGGAGAGAAAGTGAAATTGTTAGTCAGTTGTGTCTGACTCTCTGTGACCCTGTGGGCTATAGCCCACCAGGCTAATCTGTCCATAGAATTTTCCAGGCTAAAATCCTGGAGTGGGTTGCCATTTCCTTCTCCAGGGAATCAGGGAAGGGATATGTTAATCTCGTCTTTTCACAGGCGGACAGGGTCCCATTCTCTGTGAGCTGAACAAAGGCACTTTAGTTTAACAGTCAGGCATGGGCGGAACCTCCTTAGATAGGCCATTATTATATGATTATGATAACAGCAAGGTAAAGCAAGTCAAGGAAATAGTTCCAACATGGAGTCAGAATTGGTTCTTCTCTGCAACTACCACTCCCTATCAAAATCTTGGTCTTCATTATGTAAATAGCATCTACCAAATTTTCCAAGCCAGAAATCCAATCATTCATGACCCCTCTCTCTGCTTCATCTCTGAAGCCAACAAATCACTAAATGGCTTTGTCTTTGTTGTTTTATGTATGCATCCCCACTGCTATGACAGTACAGCATTATGCCTAAGAACACAGACTTGGAGCCGATTGGTTTCCACTCTGTGCTCTATCTATACCTTACTACCTATGTGATCTTGAGAAAGTTATGCAACATGTCTATGCCTCAATTCCCTGATCTATACAATGGGGATTATAATTGTACTTTCCACGGTTGTTGTGAGGATTAAATGAGTCATTATATAAATGTACTTAGAATTTGGTGTTTACTTTTATTATATGACCATCTCTTTCCTGGAATACTGAACAGTCTACTAATTGGTCTTCTAATTGAAAGTTCTAATCCATCTTAAGTCCCTTTTCCAAAATGAAGCCAAAGGAATCTTTCTAAAATGGGTATGTGAATAGTTTTTTTGCAGTTCCCTAAAAGGACATTTGATTGCCTTCATTATAAGGTTCAAATTTCTTAGAATAAGACCTTTAACTGAGCCCTGAGAACCCTTCAGCATGTCTCCTGCTTCTGCTCTCCCTGGGCATTTAAGTCATACCAACACTTCTGATTCTCTAATACACTTAATGGCTCTGACCTTTGGGGTTCAAACACACTCTTCCCTCTGACTAGACCACTCTTTACCTCCTTTTTGCTTGCCTAAGTCTTTTTCCATAATGTTTTTGCCACACCTGGAGAATGTGTGTGTGGGCAGAAGAGAGAGTCAAAAAGAGCTACCAATGTGATGTTGTTCAGTCGCTCAGTCATGTCTGACTCTTTGTGACCCCATGGACTGCAGCATGCCAGGCTTCCCAGTCCTTCACTATCTCCTGGAGTTTGCTCAAATTCATGTGCATTGAGTCGGTGATGCTATCTAACCATCTCATCCTGTGTCGCCCTCTTCTCCTCCTGCCTTCAATGGTTCCTAGCATCAGGGTCTTTTCCAATGAGTTGGGTCTTTCCATCAGGTGGTCAAAGTATTAGAGCTTCAGCTTCAGTATACTAGTGTGATAGGAAGCAAGTAAATGAAATTTGTCAGGAAGAGGGAAGGACCTGTGTCAGAAACTGCTTTCAGCTGAAGACAGGAACTGAGACTTGGCCACTGGCTTTGGCAACATTATTTCTCTAATCGCTCACTAAAGAAATAATCAGTATTTTTAAAGTTGGAATTTCTATATACTATAGTATAATTTTCAAAGCAGAATATATACTCTTTATGTATATGTAATGTAGGAATCTTACAATAAAACTGTATATAAAAATAAACTCAAAAATTCTATTCTACCATTCAATTGAGAATAGCTTCTGCACTGAGAAACCCAGTATAGATAACATGCAAGAAAGGTAAGTTCAAATTAATTCAAATCTCATAGGATAGCAAAAGGTAAGCATTAGTCCATTATGATGTTTCTGCTTAAATATTAGTGTTTCTCCAGGTATGACAAGTACATGCCAACCATTGTTGTAAGCAACGTTTTATTTTATTTCTTTATTGTTAATATACTTTGAGTACATATTCTCTTTGTACCTGAAAATCTTCTCTTCTTTGTCTTCTTCATCAAATCCAAGGACTTTCTCTGCTTTTAACCAAACAAACAAATCTGTTAGTAGAAATTTTATTTTAAATGTCAGGCAAAATGAAATGACTGTTCAAGTCCAGCCATTTCCATTAATGGAATAACGTCCTTATATTAGTGGATATTTAAAGAGTGAAATATATAAAATGTATATACATGTAATGGATATTAAAAGTATATTAAGAGGTATTTGTAGAGATTGTGGTCAGAGAGACCAAACAACTATGATTTGTGGTGTTGTTTTTGCTTCCTATAATTGCTAATTATAAGAATATTTAATGGAGACAAATATCAACTCTGAGGATACTTTATTATTCCAAATAGAGCAAATATAGACCTGCTATATAAAGTTCATTTCCTCACTAAGAGAAAAATTTTTTTGAATCTGATGTACACATATATATCTGATATATAGGTGTATGTATTAATACAATTATATAAATGTATTTTTTAAGATTTTCATCTATTCTCATGCTGTTATTTTTGTATCATGGCCTTTTTCATACAATATTATCCTTGACAAATCAACCTATAATAAAGTTTACTATAGCTGTAATAGAAACCTTTTCAGCTATTATCTAAATTCATTGGTTTTGTTGATAGGAGAACTAATAAAAATCAAACTACATAGAAATAATCATGTAACTTATTGTCAGGAATGCATATATGATAGAACTTAAATATTTAGAAATTGAAATGTGGCTAAAATATAATCTTGACTTGTTCACTTCCTTTACAATGTCAAAATCAAACCATTTAAGGAAGATAGTTACTAAATCCTATAATTTTGAAGGAAAATCAGTGTACATTCCGCTGGTTAAAAGCTATACATTCCATCTTCTCTCTATCCCACTTTTCCTGCTGTGAATTAATTCTTTTTTCTTGACCTTTACTCAGATGAAATAGGAAATAACTCCTTACTGCCACTCATACAATATCCCTGGAATGATTTTGGCTTATGACCTTTAAATGATGGGGATAAAGAAAATGAATCACATCTCCTCGCTTGGACCTGATCTGTGGGTCAACATATGTTTGCTTTTCATCTGTATGAAAATGCTTTAGGCTATGATTGCCATGGAGTAGGTGAAGTCAGGTGAAGAATGGGCAGGTGCCAATTGAGTCAGGCAGGAGATGAAATGATGATAAGAAATGGGAAAGCTGAAAAGTGGGGAATTCTTTGTAAGACATGCTGATTGCTTGTGATCACTTGCCTTTCCGTGGTTGAAGGGCAGGGTGTAAGGGCAGTGTGCAAATGCCTGGACCGTTCAGGGAAGAACAGCTGAGCAGAATGCTGGAAAGAGCTTACCTGGCAGTGACAACAGCTGTGAGAACAGGGCTTGAAACGGGATGAAAATGCCTCAGGGCTTCCGTAACATTTCATCCCCCATGAAGAAGGCATTTTCTGGAAGCCCCTTTTTAACATTGAGGATGATTTTGCCAATTAAAAAAATAGGCACTTTTAGAATTTCCACTGCCGGACTGTTTGATACATTGAGTCCTATCCTTAACATTTAAAAAAATTAGTGTTTCATAAAGCCTAATGATATTTACACAGATGTAAAAGTTGAAAATCTGGTTATTTGGTTATTTGGTGTTTGAAATCAAGTATGATAATATTTCCCTGTGAAATCCCAAGATCATTAACATTGCTTTACCAATAGGAAATACATGCCAGTAAGATGAAAATTAATTTAGAGTAGAATGCTTTATGTCAGGAGACAACTTGCCTGATCACAGTTATTTGAAACAGAGCATATTCCAAGAACATTGCCTGCTGCTTTTTCTTGGCTGTAGATATTGACGAGTGTGGGACTGGGAGGCACAGCTGTGCCAATGACACCATTTGCTTTAACTTGGATGGTGGATATGATTGCCGATGTCCTCACGGAAAGAATTGCACAGGGGATTGCATCCATGATGGAAAAATTAAGCACAATGGTCAGATTTGGGTGCTGGAAAATGACCGGTGTTCCGTGTGTTCATGTCAGGTTGGTATAAACAAAACATTGTAACCATTTTTATCAAGATGTAATTTGCATGTATTTCAAGTGTACGGCTTGATAAAGAAATCCATACATCTGATTAACCTCTGCACAATGAATATAACATAACATTTTCATCTACCCAAATTGACTAGCCTCTGCCCTTTCTTAATTCCATAGCCCCAGACACAAGTAAACACTTGTTCCTGTTTTTACAGATTAGATTTGTATTTTCTACAGCCTCATATAAGTGGAATCATATAATACAGTTGGCCTTCATGTATTCAGCCAACTGTGGATCAAAAATACTCGAGAAAAAAAATTCCAGAAAGTTCTAAAAAGTAAAACTTTCATTTTCCTGACCCCAGCAACTTTTTACATAAGTTTTATATTATATTAGATATTATACGTAATCTAGAAATAATTTAAAGCATATCAGAGATTATGTATAGGTTATATGCAAATAGTATGCTGTTTATAAGGGACTTGAGCATCCATGGATTTTGGTATCCACCTGCAACCTGGAAATAATCCCCCAGGTATATGAGATGAAAACTATACATATTGTTTTGTGTCTGACATTTGTCTCAACATTATGCTTTGACACTCAATCATATTCATTACCTGTATAAGTAACCCATCCCTTTTTATTACTAATAGTGTTCCCTTGTACAGAAATACCACAATGTGTTTATCTATTCAATGATAAAATTTTGATTCTAGCTAGGCTAATGTTTTTATAGTCACAATATCATATTTGAATGAATGCATAAATGAAGCCAGAACGAACATGCTATGGCCTGTAAGTGAAAAAACACCTATTTGGGTTATATTTCAGTTTTAGAGAAGGTGTTCTGTGTACCCAGTTGATAATAGAAATTTAAATTATAGTTAAATAATAATACCAAGGGCTCAACTATTATTAAAGAAATTGATAACAGCTTGTACAAATTATAACATTCACATATCTATAAACTTAATAATATGTAAAACTTGATGACTACCTACCAAATATAAACATACAATCCCTTACACAGAACAAACTGTAGTTAGTATTCAAATTACAAGTACATAAAAATTTATATATACATACATGAATTTATTTGCACATAAGAGCCATGCAGTGGTTATCATTCTATACTGGTTATTTCTGAAAAAATTTTTTCCAATCAAGTCATTTAAACAGTAATGTGCAGAAAGAAAATTGGAAATTCTCCAGCTTGAGTAATTTTTAGGTGTTAGCTACAAATAGGAATTTTAAAGAAAATCAGTTATATTGAGAAAACAGTGTGAGTTATCTGAAACTTCCAAATCAACATCTGAAATTACAGATATGGTGCTGATGCCCAGTCACTCAGTTGTGTCTGACCCTTTGTGGCCCCATGAACAGTAACCCACCAGGCTCTTCTGTCCATGGGATTTCCCAGGCAAGACTACTGGAGTGGGTCGCCATATCCTCCTCCAGGGGATCTTCCTGGCCCAGCAATGGAACCCATGTCTCTTGCATCTCCTGCATTGACAGGCGGGTTCTTTACCATTAGCGCCACCTGGGAAGCCCAATTTTAGATATATTATGTAATATATATGTATATATATAGAGAGATATAATTATGAATATAGATATAATTATGAATATAGATATATTATTAATTTATCTATATATATTCCCCTGGAGGAGGAAATGGTAACACACTGCGGTATTCTTGCCTGGAGAATCCTCATGGACAGAGGCGCCTGGAGGGCTATGGTCCATAGGCTCACAAAGAGTCGTTCGTGAAAGAAGTGACTTAGCACAGCACAGCACATATATATAATGTATACATGGATGTTTATATACATAGGTACTCACACTTGCAGACACACCCACATACATGTGATATCAGTATCCTGAGAAACAGAGGCTTTTGGTAACAACGTTTTCTCCTTGTCATACAGAATGGCTTTGTCATGTGTCGACGGATGGTCTGTGACTGTGAGAATCCCACAGTTGATCTTTTCTGCTGCCCTGAGTGTGACCCAAGGTTGAGCAGTCAGTGCCTCCATCAAAACGGGGAAACCTTGTACAATAGTGGCGACACCTGGGTTCAGAATTGCCAGCAGTGCCGCTGCCTGGTAAGTCTGGCTACCTGAAGTTCAGGAAACGTTCAGCCCAGAATCAAAATAGGAAAGCAACCTTCCCTGCCCCTCCACCAATATTCAGTAGCTGGCCATAGCGTTGGAAGTTACAGAAGGTGAACCTAGTTATGGTGACAAGGTGAGAAGGCATATCCAGGGGTAGATGCAGTATACCATGCCATGTCAGTCTTTCAGGACAATCTCCAGAGCGCCAAAGAAGAAAAGGCTGTCCTCACTTTCCCAATCCACTCAGCCTAGGTTTACTTAAAGACAGTTATGAACAGAACAATGGCATTCAAAAAAATCCTTTTTTCCAAGTAAACCTTTTGTTAATCCATTTCTGTCAATTATGCTCTGACTTAAAAAAAAACAAAAACAAAGCCTTTTTTCTTTCTAAAAATTGTTACTGTCAATACTATTCTTGCGGTAACCCTGTTTTACACATAGTATGAATTTGCAGTAAATATTAGAATGTTAGAGTTGAATGTATATATGTATGAAACTTCTACTAGAAACAATAGGTTAAAAAGAAAATAAAGACTTGATAAGAAGACCGCAGTCATTTCTCATGTGGCCGAATTTTTTGCTTCTTTCCATGGTGTAAATGAAAATTTATCTACATGTCTTTATAGAAGAAAGTTTCATAGATACTAATCTTAAAGTTAGAACTGGTTTCCTTTCTATTTGTGTGAGGATATTTTTAAGGCAATGCTTTTTTGTTGCTTCCTTTTTATACTTTCAACCCAAAAATCAATTGAAAGAGCAAGGTCAGTTTTGTGCCTGAAGGCTGCTTTCATCTCCCAAGTCCATGAGACTCAGAATTATGAAGAAAATAGGAAACAGGTGGGAACTAAATTTTAAAAAGACCAATTCACACAATTTTCCCATGTGGAATAAAAATGACTGAAATCAGCTCCTAGTTTTGTTTTTTTTTTTTCCCAAAGTCCATACACTGAGAAATGTATAAATGAACAAAGAAAAACTGTCAAATTTCCTTCATATTTCAATTTATTTTCTTGTCAGTGGACAAAACTTTCTTTTTGCAGAAGGGAATAAATGAGAAAGTAGGATAAAAGATTGAAAGGAAGAAAAAAGCATCTCATAGGCAAAAAAGCTAAGTAAAAATCTCTTCTGTAGTAAACAGTTCTTTGTCATGGGAAAGAGAGGACATGCCCATTTGCTTGTTTTAAGATAATTGGTTTTTGCTCTCCTGTATTGCTATTCTTATTTAACCCATAAAGACTGTTTCATAATCCATCTACAGTATAGATCTCATGTGTGGATTCCCTGCATTCATGGCTGCGAAGGTCTAAGTATGAATGTCCGCCAGAGAAATTGAGTAGCTGAGTACTCAGTAGACACTACGTTCCCTCCCTCCCTCTCCCACTACTCTTGTGCATCTGCTTTCCTTATAGCAAGGGGAAGTTGACTGTTGGCCCCTGCCTTGCCCAGAGGTGGAGTGTGAATTCAGTGTCCTCCCCGAGAATGAGTGCTGCCCACGCTGTGTCACCGACCCTTGCCAGGCCGACACCATCCGCAATGACATCACCAAAACTTGCCTGGACGAGATGAATGTGGTCCGCTTCACTGGGTCCTCTTGGATCAAACATGGCACTGAGTGTACTCTCTGCCAATGCAAGGTAAAACCCACTATATTCAAGTAGGGAGCACTTGGCTAGCTGTGCCCAGGAATCATAGCTATTAATGTGGCCAGTGGGAAGCACCTTCCTTCCTAGTTACTGCTCAGAGTTGGGAGGAGGACCACTCAGCTTAATTAGTGCCAAAGCTGACTGTCCTATGCATCCTCTAAAGCATTTTCAGGGAGAAGAACGTGCTTGGTCTGAAACCAGAATGATGGTTATTTATATCACTGGAACAGAAAGAACCTATGTAAATTGCCCTAAAGCATCTAACTGTACACATCTTTTAAAAAAAATAATACAACACCAAGCTTCATGTTTATTTCATGACAGAGGACAATATTATTTTATTGATTTTTATCTAGTCTTTTTATGATATAAGATATATCAACAAGGTAAACATACTGTGTTTTCCAAAGTGAAAATCAATATGGCAAAAATGGGCATATTTCTTGGTTTGTTGTGGTCAGTTACATTGAGCTGAAAAATTTAAGACTTGTTGTTTACCATATTTTATTCCTACAGCTGGAGGAAAATCATTATAAAGATTTTTCTTTTATTCTCATAGGAAAATAAAGCATTATGTCTTTTACTACACTGAGAACAAAAATACTGATAATGTAGACAAGGTATATAGAATTCAAAAATGGTGACAAAGTTGAAAGCTTTTTACTTTGATTATTGTTCCTACAAATATTTGATTCAGTGGTCACTGTACTTCAGAGTCAAAGTTTTAGAATCAACACTAAAATTAATAATCTGGAAAGCTTAACAACAACAAGAAAGCAAAGATGTCAGATTTTTCCCAGCATAGCACAGCCAGATATCTCCAACTGCTCTGGTTCTTTAAATGAACATTTGCATTTAAAAATTTTTTTCAGTAGAGCAATTTAATTCTGATTCACATAGTACAAATTTCTTACTAGAGTGACTTGATGTAACAGGACAAAGAAATATTAAATGCTTTAAGTTTGAGATGCTATTATTATCTATTTCACACCGAAATTTCTAGCTCTTTCAATCAATGCAATTTGTCAATCAAGCACAGCTTTTTGGGAGGAACATTTAATGCAGTCTTCTAAAAGTGCATTAGCACATTTGAAAGTTACTTCTACTTCAAAAAGTTACTAGCAATGTATATGCAGTGCCACTTTAATATACATTTAATATGAATACATTTGAATGCGTTTAGTGGTGCATTATCTAGAAACTTCAGCATTAATGATTAATAGGGAAATACTTTCTGACATTTAATTGCCAAAGATATTTGAGTCTCTTTACACTCTTAATCTACTATTAGATTATTGTTCTGAGCAGTGACAACAAAAATATATACTGAGTGATGCAATGTAAAACACACCAGATATAGCTCAGACAGATACTTCTAACAAGGAAAATGCAATCAGTAATAGGCAGCAAACATTACAGTATTTTCTGGGGGTAAAGAGTGTGAATGAGCTTGTCATTCACTGCCTTAAAAACAACTAGGATTTTTTGACTCCTAGTAGGAATGTTTCCAGAAAGTGTATTTTGGCATTAAATTCACTTCTTGTCAGATAACTGCCATTTCTCAGAAGTTACTATTTGATGCCCTTTCCTTTCTCCCTTCTTATTAAGTTGAGTTATAAGAATATGCTCAATGCTACCAAATGTGTCCCTAATAGTCATTTTATTATATTTATTTTTTGCTATTTTAAAAATAAGATTTATGCCAAATAGGCTTGAGAGATTGCATTGGAGGTAAGCATTCTTCACAATTCGATACTGTCATAGCACTATTTGCATTTACTGTCTCTCCATCCTACCACATCTGAGTTATTGGTGTAGTCCATAAATACAAGTTGAGTGGGGTATTGTGCCAGGGTAGAATGATAACCAAAAACAGCAAAAATTGTTTCTGGAAATTTTTCCCCAGCAGGTTATCGTCTAGAGCTCTGCTATCTGGTACTGTAGTCAGAAGCCATATGTGGCTATTTAAATTCATTGAAATTAAATTAAAAATCCAGTTCCTCAGTCACACGAGCCACATTTCAAGTGCTCACATGTGCTCATGGCTATCATAGTAGACAGAGCATGCAGAGAACAATTCTATTATGGCAGAATATTCTATAGGAAAGCACTGGTCTAGAGGTGAAGAATGGGGCATCTAAAATCAGGCTACTTGGATTCAGAGCCTGGTCCACCACACTAGCAATGTCACCTCAAGAGACATTTATAAATCTCTCTGTGACTCAGTTTTTCTCACCTAAAACTTGGAATACTATTACTTACATAAGAATAATGATATTACCTACTTGAGAACGTTGCTTTAAGAATTAAGTGAAAAGATCCCCACAAAAAGTTTCCTACACATTTCATATACATTCAGAGTAAGTGCTCAATAAATGTTGGCTATTATTATTGTTGGTAGTGGACAACAGAAACATTAAGTCATGAAACAGATAGAGACAACATTACTCACTGTGAAGGATGCTCTGAAGGAAGAATGAACTGTGCTTAGAGGCTCTCCAACAAGTGAACCAATTTTTCTTCCTGAGGAATTAAGAGTTAGCTGGGAGAGATAGGGTTAAGAGCTTCCCTTTCCTTTTTAAAGATGCCTTTAAATTTAAATTGCTTAGATTTAAAAAAAAAAGAAGTTTCCTTCATTCAGAAGTTGAACTCGAATCAGAAATGAATTACTAATACTATCTTTCCTAAATCTGATAGAGACTACACCACTCTAGAGAGCTTTCAGGTAATTGTGCTTTGCACTCCAGGCAATAAAGAGGGATGTACCCAGTTGATAAATAAGGAAGGAGGAGATATTAGAGGGTCAGGCAAGAATACTGGAATGGGTTGCCATTTCCTTCTCCAAGGGATCTTCCCAACCCAGGGGTCGAACCCAGGACCCCTACATTGTGGGCAGATTCTTTACAGTCTGAGCCACCAGGAGGCAGACAAATAAAAAGTGAAAGTGTTAGTCACTCAGTAGTATCCCACTCTTTGCGACCCCATGGACTGTAGCTGGCCAAGCTTGTCTGTCCATGTAATTCTCCAGGCAAGAATACTGGATTGGGTTGCCATTCCATTCTCCAGGGGATCTTCCTGACCCAGGGATCAGAACCCAGATTTCCTGCATTGCAGGCAGATTCTTTGCCATCTGGGCTACCAAGGAGCAGTATAGTCAGTAGAGCTTTGTAGATCAAAAGAGAAGAAAGGATTATTCTATAAGTACTGGAATGACTGGATAGCAATTTTTAGGGATGTAAGTTGTATATACTATCATGCTATGTATCAAAACAATTCCCATGTGGGAAAAGTGTTAAATATTAAAAATAAATCAAAACAAAGATAAGTAATCAAATATTTATCAAAATTCTAGAAGGAAGATGCCTTTTCTAACTTAAAAGTGATAAAATATACCTCAAAAAATTTAGAGCTTCTATAGATAGACAAAATTAGCAAAGTATAAAATTGCAACTAGAGACTGGAAAAAAACATGTTCAGCAGATATGTCTTTAATTAGATTAAAAACATAAAAATTAAAAATACTTATTTTCCCATAAATAACAGAGGATGAATAAACAATTCACTAAAAAATACAACTGTTAAAAAAGAGGAGAGCATTCAGCTTTTAAATAATTGAAACAAATATAAACTAACATAATGATTTATTATTTCCAAATACTACAGTAAAAAAAAAATGCACAATAATTTCCAATGTTAACAGTGATATAGTGGAATTGTAGTTCTTTTGCAGTGTTAGTGACATTGAAAAATACAATCAAAAGCCAGACACATACCTCCTAGTCCCATCCCCATCTCCACAGAAATATCCAGAAAATTTTATTAATCCTGAGTCTCAGAATCCAGCCAAAAGAAACAATCTAAAATATGGAACAAACTATGTGCATCTTAATATTCACCTCAACATTAATTGGCATGCAGAATCAAAAAGAAACCAAAATACCCAACAATGGAAAAATGGTTAAATAAATTATGATGAGGGCATGGCAACCCACTCCAGTATTCTTGCCTGGATAATCCGCATGGACAGAGAAGCCTGGTGGGCTACAGTCCGTGGAGTCGTGAAGAGTCAGACACAACCGAACAGCCAAGCACACAGCATATGATATAACATAAACTCCAGGAGGCAGTGGAGGACAGCGAGGTATGCAGTGCTACAGTCCATGGGGTCGCGGAGTGGGACACGATTGAGTGCCTGAACAACAACAACAAAATGTAGTATATAATACTACAACTGTGCATTATATGTATGATTGCATCATTCAATCATTCAAGTACCAGCAATGCTTATAATGAAAATTAAGATAAAAATACTCTGTGTAATTATGTATGCACTTTGATTACAAGAAGGCTGAAAATAGAAAAATATGAAATGAAATCTATGCTGCTGCTGTTGCTAAGTCGCTTCAGTTGTGTCTGACTCTGTGCGACCCCATAGACGGCAGCCCACCAGGCTCTGCCATCCCTGGGATTCTCCAGGCAAGAACACTAGAGTGGGTTGCCATTTCCTTCTCCAATTATATTCATTTTTATGTAGATTATTTATAGACAGGGAAGCCTGGTGTGCTGCAGTGCATAGGGTCACAAAGAGTCAGACATGACTTAGCAACTGAACAACAATAACAATTTATAGCACATATGTGTACATATAATTACACATATATTTATTCTGTTATATAATTTATAAACATTAATGTATTAATAACAGTGTTTTATAAAACCTATATTAAGTATATATGCTAATAAAATATTCAATGCTTTGTGTATATTATATAGAAACATTTTACTGAAAGCTGAAAGTCAACTGTCTTCTAATCTTGATTTTATAAAGTTTAGTATGCAAAGAGTGATGAGGACTTCTTTACCAATAAAATATAGCCAGAAATAACAGGGTGTTAAGAAAACTTACTGTTATTGTGTAAAAAATAATTAGATTTTTAATGTTATGGCAGTGGATGGTTACTATTCCTAGCAACCTAAGTTTCAGTGGATCACCTTTTATTCTAGGTTTTATCAAGGTAATGTTTGTTAAGGTGAAATAATAGCTATTCTGTGCAAATTTTTTATGTTTGATGAATCAAAATATAGAATATTTTCAACAGTCTAGCAAGTACCTTTCTGCCCACTTCTAGGGAATACCTATTCCTATAGGAAACCTCAATTTTATTTCATTATACATATTATTCCCAAATGTATTTTGCCTATTTAAAAATTCATTTGTGTATCACACAATATGTATTATTTTATGTCTAATGGTGATTTGACCAATTTATCTTTATGTAATATCCCTCTTTATCTCTAACAAGATTTCTAGATAAGAAGTCAGTTTTTTCTGGTACTTGTTACACACTATATTGTTTTGATTCATCAAACTTTCAACCTGTCTATAGTTTTATATTTAGAATGCATATTTATAGATAATATATAAATAGTTCTTACTTTTTAATCCAGTGTGACAGTTTCTGTCTTTTAATTGAAGTGTTTAGCCAATTTATATTTGATATTGTTTTTGATATTCATGTATTTAGGGGTCACCATTTTGCGATTTGTTATCTGCTTGTTCCATGTGTTGTTTTTTTTATATTCTTACGTATCCAGGGAAAGTATCCACTTGCTTTCCTTCTGTTTATTTTTATATTAGCTGTATGTAAGTTTTTCTATTATTCGATTTTAATTTTTCTTTTAGATTCTTAACTATAACTATATTGTTATTTTTTGTTGTTGGCCTATGCAACAACTAAAATAATAAACCTTTGGTTTTTATAATTTTGACTATGATACACTTATGTGTGGTTTTTTTGTCTTTGTTCTCTCTGGGATTTGCTGGGCTTTTTGAATATCTAAGTTGATTTTTTTTTTTCACCAAATTTGAGAGAAATTTGGCCATTGTTTCTTCAGATATTTTGTCTGCCACACTTTCTTCCTCTTATTCTCCCGGGACTCCAATCACACACGTGTTATATGGTTTAATATTACCCTGAAGGTCACTGAGATTCTATTTTTATTTCAATCCTTTTCTCTTTGTTTTAAAGATTGGATAATTTCTATTTTTTTTTCAAATTTACACACTACTTCTGCCATCTCTAATCTTCTGTTAAGCCCATCCAATGAATTTTTCATTTCAAATGCTGTACTTTTCAGTTCCAGAATTTTTATTTAATTTTATTTTAGTTTTATTACTCTGCTGCAATTTACAACCTTTTCATTCATTATAACCTTTTTTTTTCCTAACATCTTTGTACACATTTGTAATAGATACTTTCTAGTCTTTATCTGGGTTTCCTTGGTGGCTCAGACGGTAAAGAGTCCGTTTGTAATGCAGGAGACCCAGGTTCAATCCCTGGTTCGGGAAGATCCCCTGGAGAAGGGAATGGCTACTCTCTCCAATATTCTTGCCTGGAGAATTCCATGGACAGAGGAGCCTAGTGGGCTACAGTCTTTATCTGCATTTACACCAACTGGATTAACTATGAGTCATTTCTCTTTCACTACTTTTTCCCTTGATGAATCACTTTTTTCTGTTTTTTTCACAAAGCTAATAATGGTTATGGTTTATTGGATATTGTGGACAATATGTAGTATAGGTCCTCCATTCTGCTAGCTTCCCCTGAAGACTATTGTTGTTCTAGCAGATTTCAAATTACAGCCAATAAACTTGCAGTTGAGAAGGCTGGACTTTATGTTAGTTAGATCTATTCCAGATGTGCCCTTAGTTCTAGGGTGAATCTCTTAATCTTGATGTTTTGTTCCTAAACATGAAAGCCTGAAATTTTTTATCAGTCCCTTCTAACGTGGCAGGACACAGATTTTAAGCACTTCTTCCCACAGGGAGCAGCATCTGAAATCTGCTCAGAGCTTTCCAGCTTCAAACTGTGACTCTCTGATTGTCTTTTTAGAGTCTCCTCTGCAATTCAAAGACCAGCCACTGATTTGAGGGGAGTTTACATGCTGATTCATTCCCTCCTTTCTAAGATATTTCCTTCTGAATTTCCAGGCACCTTGGCAGCCCTAAATGTTGCCCTCCAACATCTGAAGCCTATCAGATTGTGGCTTTCTGCTTGAGTTGTAGTTATCCTAAGTTTCACAGACTAGACAGTGCCCTAAGGAAAAATGCCAGGTAGAAATGAATCTCACACAATACATTTTCCTCCTTTCAGAGATTGAAATTCCTCCAGTGTCTGCTTGCTTTTAGTCACTAATTCATTGGTTTAAACAATTTTTATATTTTGTCCAAACTTTATAGTTATCCATATGAGAGATAGTCTTGTGTAAGTAACTATGCCATTACTGAAATTGGAACCCCAGTGGAATATTTTATTACTCTTTCTTATATCAACTAGGTTTCCTGAATTGAGGAGCTATCAATGGCATGATCTGTAGCATTCATGTTCCTATAGCAGAACATACTGATAGGGGATAAGAAAAACACTACTCGAAGATTTGGGGAAATATATCTTCTCTTCCTAAAATCTACTTATACTCCAGAAATTTCCCTAACTCTCTCTGCTTAAAACCCATACAATCTGAGGAATTGACATTCTTGGGAACTGGTACACCTCTCCCTTCATTGGGTCAGTGAATTGGGAAAGATCATATGACCAGGTTATGGTCAGAAATCCTCAGCCTCTGAGCATAACAACAAAGCTTTAAAACACTGCTAGAGAGCTAAGAAATGGTTGTCTGTCACACTATTTTGCCATCAGAGTAAGAATTCTGCTTAATAACAATTTTAAAAGAAAGGGGATTAAGTTAAATTGATAATATTCTTCTTGGATATAGATTGTCTTTTCTCTTATTTGGTAAGCTTCAACAAAGGCTAAAGTATCAAAGTCCTTTCTTAAGTTTTATCTGAACCTTTTGGTTTTATCATATTAAGGTCTGATACATTTTCAATCAGGTAAAGTCAATTATCTGACGGAATATATCAAACAGAAGATGAGTTTTAGAGTCAGACTAGCCTGTATTTTAATCCCAGTTTGTACCCTTATATTAGCTGTAAGATTTTGGACATGATATTTAAGCTTTCTGATCTTCAGTTTCCGAACCTAAAAATCATCACTATTAATAGTGATCCTACTGGGAATGCTCTGAGGTTGAAATTAGATAATGTACTTAAAAGTGTCTGGTGAAGTTTCTGACAGAGAGTATGCACTCAAAAAGTAGAAGGATATTATCATCTTGTGATTGTGGTAGCAATACTAACATTATCATTATTATTAGTGAGCCAGTGGAAGAAAGTAAGAGTGCAAAAATTCAAAAGAATAAGATACAATTTTTTTCTTTTCTGTAATGCTTTATACTATTTTGGCTGTCATCATTCAGTTGCTAAGTCGTGTCCAACTCTGCAACCTCATGGACTGTAGCACACCAGGCTCCTCCATCCTCTAGTATCTCCCGGAGCTTGCTGATGCTATCTAACCATCTCTTCCTCTGCCACCACCTTCTCCTTTTGCCTTCAGTCTTTCCCAGCATCAGGGTCTTTTCCAATGAGTAGGCTCTTTGCAGCAGGTGGCCAAAGTTTTACAGCTTCAGCATCATTCCTTCCAAAGAATATTGAAAGTTGATTTCCTTTAGGATTGACTGATTTAATCTCCTTGCAATCCTGGGGACACTCAAGAACCTTCTCTAGCACCACAATTCAGAAGCATCAACTCTTTGGTGTTCAGCCTTCTTCATACTATTTTTTATACTATTTTGGTACTTTGTTATAAAAACCAACTATGCTTATTCGGCTCTTCCCTGTTTTCCTCGCCTGATTGCTACAGTTTTCTTCACCAGCTTAGAATTCTTGCCAAGACAGAACCTTTTTAGGCTTCTTAACTAAACAGAACTCTTTTCAGTTTAAAGCCTTTACTCATTCTGTTCCCTGTGCTCTTGGCGTAAGTTTTTCACAGAACTATCTTGAGGTCTTGGTTTAAACATCACTTCTATATAGAATTCTACTCTGGCCACCTAATCTAAGTAGCCAGGCTTTTTATTAATCTCATAACATCATAGTGTTTTTGCCTGGAGAATCCCAGGGAAGGGGGAGCCTGATGGGCTGCCGTCTATGGGGTCACAGAGTCAGATACGGCTGAAGCGACTTAGCAGCAGCAGCAGCAGCGGTTTGTTTCTTTTCTAGCACTTTTTACAATTTTTGATTGTACAGTTGATTGTTAATGGATAAAACTCTAGGCCCTGTCCTGTGAGAGTAGCAAGCACGTCTGCTCTCTTCATCAGCATGTCTAGGGCTCAGGTTCCTCAGTGCTTATTTTGTGAATGGGCAAATACAAGAACAAATGTGATCTGAGAGAGTGCCATGGAGTAAGTAAAGCTAGCCTAGGATTTACCACAAATAACTGGCCATAGTTGGTTTTTAAGCCAGACCTGAAAAGTGATTAGGACATCGAACTTTCAGGCACATATAAATAGCAAATAAACCATTCAGTTATGTTATGTGTAACAATTAGTGAGTACTGACTAATGGCTTAAAAATTCATACTGTGCCTTTTCCCCCTGTCTTTTCTCTAGAATGGCCACATCTGTTGCTCAGTGGATCCACAGTGCCTTCAGGAACTGTGAAGTTAACTGTCTCACTGGAAATTTCTGTTTAAAGAATGTTCTTTCATTAAAAAGACCAAAAAAAAAAAAAGGTAAAACTTAAAAGTGGATGATTTGTGGGCAGCTAAGTGCAGCATTGTTATTAGCTGAGTGAACTTTCAATTATGAAATTCATGGAGCTTGAGAAAATCACAAAAGGAAAAGGCTTGGGGCAAAACTGGACGAGAATTCCACCTCAACGGTGTCTGACGTCAAACATGTAGAAGAATGGGTGTGAAATACATACCATGACATCATGACCCCTGGACATAAAGCCTGAGCTTATGGGAGCTTTGGAAGCCTCTGGCTTCACTGGTGCAGAAAATACTCCTCTAGACCAGAATCTTCATGAATCAGTTCAGTTCTTCACTGCAGAAAATAAAATGTAAGGCGGTGAATGAGTTCTATTTTCAGAAGCAAAGCAAAGAAGCTGTAACATGTTATATGTACAATATACACTCTGAGAAGAAATCTGAAACATTATTGTCATGATAAAAATAATGCACAGGCATGGTTACTTAATATTTTCTAACAAGAGAACTCATCCCTATTTCCTTGTTTTACTGCACTTAATATTTGGTTGAATTTGTTCAGTATAAGCTCGTTCTTGTGTAAAATTAAATAAATATTTCTCTTACCTTATAACTGTCCCGGTGTTTGCTTAACGTGTTCCTTTTCCCCCACACATTCTTCCACATACAAATTGTTTTCTAGTTCTGCTGATGAAATACTCCCAACTCCCAAGCTGAAAGGTGATTTTTGCTATATTACATGCCTAAATGGGGGGTGTGAAGGAGACCTTTGTTCTGCCTCTGTGGCTTCGCTAGGTTGCCTTTTACCCTACCTCATATCCTGGGGACCTACTTATGTACATCATATTAATAGGTTCTCTTGTCTGAATTCTGATTCAGTCTGACTAGTGGCGACCACCAGCAGGATTTCAGAAAGAGAAAGTTTGGCTCTTCACCCTGCTGGCTCCTCTCGGGTCAGGTCACTGCCAGATTAGCTGTGTCAGTGGAAGCGACGTCTCCCGACAGCTGGCCCTCCCTGTTCAGCTATTCTGTCCCAACTTCTGTTTGCTTCTTCTGGCTTTAGGGATGATACAACTCTGGCTGCTTTGTCTTTGTGGGTACCTGCTCAGTTTCTTGTCTTCCCTGTTTCCTTTCGCCTCTTTAGAAATGGTCCCTTTGTTAAACTCTCTTTAATTAGCCAGCTTGAGCGTGCCATCTGTTTCCTGCCAGGACTCTGACTGATGTCCATAAGGAAAGGAGTATGTGAGGGTTGGGAATCTCGTCAAAAATTCGTCCTTCACAGTTTGATATAAAAATTTAAAGAACCCCAGTGTTAGGAGGGATTATGATATTACATGTTAAAATTTTTGATGCACCAGAATCTCAGGAGGAAAAAGTAAACTTACAGATGCTCAATAGTGATGGTAAATACAATATTGCCCTATTTGTATGTTTTGCACTAGGGTGAAAAAGAAATACAAATCTTATTAAATTTTAGTTGCATAGAGACTTCTTTAAAGGAAAAAGAATGGAAGTGGACAAGATGTAACTCCCACAAGCTATGGAAAAGGTAAAGTGGCATTTAACTGCCTTTCCCCCATTGCTATGAAAATTACCTCATAGGAGCCGAGCTAAAGGATAATTTATAAATGTCTTAATACTTTGGCATATGTAGTATTTACTGAATGTGTCAATTCAAGTATCTCTCAGTATTCCCTGGACTTATAAATGTTTTTTTCTGCAGCCTGTTTATACTTGACTAAAAATTTCAGCAGAGCATAAAGTTTATTTTAAGCAGGTATTATTTACTGTGGAAACTAGCAATTTAGTCTCCAAAAAGATCTTAATTTGAAAGTTTTCCACGTATTTTTTCCTTATATAGATTTGGGATTTCATATAAATTTCCATAAAAATATTTTTTATTGATACTTGCTTTTCTGAGAAACGTATGAAATATGTGCATTTGCATGTGTGTGTACTTGTATCCACACTCACAGTTTACATCCATATACTTGGATATACTCATCATTTAGATGTTTTATGCCTTCTAGAAGAAGAAACAAGGTGGAATTGCACACTCCCCTCTGTCATAAGTGTAGGGCTCTGAGTGTGTTAGTGGTTTTCAGAGCCTGGTTTCTATAGACTTCTGAAAGAAAGAGAACTCATAACATTGAGAAGAAAAGAGGGAGAAAATAAGATTATGTTCTTCCAAGGACTATTAAAGCAATAAATGTGTTCAGATTGAATTTTTTACTTCAAGGTTTATCCCATAAATAATAGATACTCAGGAGAATTGCTGTTTACCCAGGCGAGCAGTAATCAATTGCTTCTTAAGGGCTTTGTTCTTTGAGAAAGAAGTTGTTAAATGCCCTATTTCTTACTCTGGAGATAATTGGCAAAATGCCATGGTTGAATTATGCCAGTGTTGTGGGGAAGTGAGAACTAACAAGCATGAATTTAATTTGGGGGTACTTGGCTCTTTTAAGAGCAGTCTTTGGTGGAAAAAGTCTTTACTACATTTCCTTTATTTTCCCTTTTCTGAAAGAAAAAAAAAACACAAGAATATTTGAATATGATTCTTTGGTAATTCATGAATGGTAATCCATGTCACTTGTCATCCTTTTTGAAAGACTACCATATTGCTATTTCCTTTGCCTTATATAGTGGGAAGGAGAATCACATATTATTGTTCAATATGATCCAAGCAGTATCATCTAACTCCTTTCATCTCCCAGTAACTTGGTTAAGACAAAGTTGAGACACCTTGTAATTGGCCTTAAAAAATGGATGGTATATCAAAGCTCTAAAACAGCAATTGATTCTCTGTATATTGGAGTAGCAGAAGTTATTCAGTTGAACAAAACTGAGATTACATGTGTGGAATAAAAAATAAGCTTCAAGTCACTAAGGATTACCCCCAAAGCTCCATGTTTCTGACTAGTTAAGAATTCCTCTGGAGATCAACAGGTCCCATAGACACTTGCATGGTCCCAGTCCTGGTAACCTAGCACTGAGTATTGATAAGATCAACCTTTATTAGAGCAAGACTTTGTATTTTTCTTATTTCTCAAATGTAAAGTGTTAGTGGCACAGTGGCAGATTGATCTCAGAGAGATTCATGCCGAAAAGATCCCTGAAGGCAATAAGTGAATGCTATGCTCTGTTATACACTTCATTCACTGAACACTCCCGCTGGGTAGTCACTCTGTTGCCGTCAAGTTGTCTCATTGTGTTCTTACTGACCTTTCAATATTGATGGACTGTTTTCTGCCCTAGAATTCAATATCTTCCATAAAGGAATTGTCACCTCTTTGCAGAATAATTGCCCTTACTTAACAGGCATACAGGTAGAAAAACAGAGCTTTGAGCTACAGTGGTTCTGGATCTGTGGTGAAATATGTTGGCGAAGGATAGAACCATTGGAAGAGTTTGGAATAAGATAGTTTGAGTTTCAGTTTCCTATATACCTTGTATTTGCCAAGAGGCTGTGGCAACTCCTCCAAGCCTTTTATCTTTGTGCTGGGATTAAATCATGGTTCAAGAGATTGTTTGCATGGCAGATTCTTAAGTCCTTGTTTATTTTGAATGACAAATGGCACAATATATTACTGTCACCCCAAAAATATTGCATTTAAAACATGCTCTCCTTTTATCTCCAGTGCTAGGTGCTTTAATAAAACACTCTGGACTCAGAGTGTGACTAGATGTAGAAATAGAAATGGTGACAAGTTTATTTTTGACTAATTTTCTTTCTCTTTCACAAAAAAACAGCTATAAATAGGGAAAGCAGAAAACCAGAAAACGTAATTTTCTTCAAAATATATAAGGAATTCAGGAATAAGTTTATCAAAAGAAATTCCTGGTCTTGTGGAAAAATAAAAAACCACAGTGAACAAATCTTTTTGAAATCCTAGAATATACCTAGGCACTGCCTGAAGAGTTTGCATAATGAACCAATTTCACTGCAACAGTATAGATGCCACAATGTGTAGAGTGTGTACAGAGCAGAAGCATCTCCTTATTGCCCTCCTCGTGGAATTCACATCCTTATGGGGGGCAGAGAATTAAATAAGTGGATGCTATGCCAGGGGAAGATAGGTGCTATGAAGAATTAAGCTGAGTGGAGCAGTGATACAGACAGGCGATAGTTTAGGTAGGGTGGGGATGAAGTCTTCTCTAAGATAAAGTGACATCAGAGCAAACACTGGAATGAAGTGAGGCAGTGAGGCATCTGCACATCGCAGGGGGAGAATGACAGGCCAAGGGAGTGTGTGAACAGGTCTGAGATGGGCGCATCCTTATGCGCAGTGTGAGTGGAGTGAGCAAGCTGAGACTTAAAGACAGAGGATGTGGTCAGGGAAGCGGCTGGTGATCAAATCACATAGGTCTTCCTAGGCCATCGTTAGCGATTAGCATTTTTATTCTTTGTGATTTGGAAGCTGTTAGAGAGTTTTGAGCATAGCTGTGACATAGTCTAATGACAATTAAAGAATTAACCTAAGCCATTTGTGGAGAATGAGATGAGGTAAGTGGACAGGGTGAGGGGGTGTGCTGAGCATGGGTGTAGGAGGTACATTTATGCTGCAGAATTTCCAACAAGATGATAATAATAGGCTAGGAAGGTAGCGTTGAGGGTGAGAAGGAGGAAACATTTACTAAAGATCTACTTAATTGAAAAAAATGGGTAGGAAGACTAAGTGTCAAAAAAGTGTCAATTCTCCCCAGTAGTTCTAATAAGAAAAAAAAAAAATTCTAAACTATTATGGAAAAGCAAATGGCCAGGAATATTTTGAAGAATTATATCTAAGGGCAGGGAAGACCGTATATCATTTATCTGTATTTCATATATCATCTATCTTGGTATCCTACCATATGTCAAGAGTATAAAGCTATAGAAATTGAGTCATTGTTATGGGAATAAATGGAAGACAGGTCAATATATAACAGCACCAAGACTTCAGAAAGCATCTC